CGCCTGTGTGGTCTTTAACATATATATTTATGGGAGGGAGGGCTGTGATATGTGGAGCTCTCAAAAGTGTGGGGCCTGGACCAAGGGTCGCAAGGAAACTTTTGGGGCAATGGAAGTGTTCCATATCTTGATCTGTCTGATGGTTACATGATTGTATATATTTATCAGAATTCACCAAACTGTACACTTAAGATCTGTGCATTGTACTGCATGTAAATTATACTTCATAATAAAGTCTTATTAGCATGAGAAATAAAGGCTACCAGAGCATACTTTATGTAAGCTAAAGGGGGTAACCACAATATGATTCCATTACTCTAACACAACTATTTCAAGTATTCTTTTCTCATATGTCTGCACACATATGCACAAATACACCCCATGCTTTCTTCTTTCTCTTTTAACTTCTCTACAATCCCACCTCACATACGAGGTTTTTATGTCCTTAATATGATATCTTAAATCTTTGTCTATGGAGATGGTCTTCATAATTATATAATGATTGCTTTCATTTTTCCACTCTTTCTTTAAAAAAAGATTTTATTTATTTGAGAGAGAGAGAGAGCACAGAGGGAGAGGGAGAAGCCGACTCCCTGCTGAGCAGAGAGCCCGATGCAGACTCCATTCCAGGACCCTGAGATCATGATCTGAGTTGAAGGCAGATGCTTAACCGACTAGCCACCCAGGCGCCCCTCATTTTTTCACTCTTATAAATAATATTCCAGTCTACCTTTTTATGTATAAGGTTTTTATTTTACTATTTTGTTGGCATAAATTTCCAGATATAGGATGAATGGGCAAAGGATTATGAAGATTTTACTGACTGTGTATTGAAGCTCTGTATTGTAATGGTTAGGATGCTGGGCTTTAGAGTTCAGAATGAGATGGATTCAAATTCTGGCTCTGTTCAACCTTGGATGAGCTACTGCAAATCTAGATCAATATTGCCCTTTTATCTTGAGGATTAAATGAGATGCTACATATAAAGGGCTTGGTATGTAACTACACAATAATCACTGGATAAAATATTGTGAAACTACTTTCTAAAAGGGCTCTACCAGCTTCACTCCCCAAGGTTATGTACATGTTCTGGTTTTCCAACAAAATCCCAGCATTGGATGTTAGAATCTCAGTTATTCTATGGTTGAATGAGATATTCTATTGCTGTTTTAATTGCATTATCTGACTAATAGGAAGTTGGTAATTTTTCAGTGTTCTTGCTTTAAAATTCTAAATTTCTCCTTTAAAAAAATTCTTCCACTTGCTTTTCTATTGCCTTTTATTCACTGTTAATTTACAGATAAGACTTCAGTGCTGTCTTATGGTTCAGGTCAAGGATTGCTATATATAGCACAGGACCCAGTAAAAGAAGGAAAAATGGGTTTGTGTTATTTCTGACCTGGCCAATAAAAAAGAGAAGTGAAATAGCATGTCTCCATGAGGTGGCTTTTCGTACCAGCCTGGCAACTGATTTCTCTGAGCTTCCAGTCTGTATGTGTTTTCCTGGCAGTCAAGTCTGGTCTACTTGAGGGAGTAAGAGGGCGGAATGGGCCAGAGGAGGTTCATTTTAGTGCAAGGGTGCATTCCTTTACTGTCATTATCCAACTCATTAAATGAGTTAATCTGTGAGGTGCGTGATCAGGGCTGGCTCACAGCTGGTGCTTGTTAGCGTTACTAACAGAGGCTGGGACAGGGGATCCTGGGCCCATTCCTAATCCAGCGAGGCAGCAGACTCTTCTATTTTTCCTGTTCACCAGACTCCCTTGGTAAAGTAGAAATGTGGCAGGGTCTGCCTTCCCTTGTTGGTCCAGACTAAACTTTGTTTCCCTAATTTACTTACTTACTTAGAAATTTGGTTCTTTTTTTCTTCAGACCATACTTGAATCTTTTAAATCCCAATGTGACTGAAATTTCAGCCAGAGTGGAAGTCATGGGTTTTGCTGCCCCTTTATTCCTGACCAGTTGCAACAGGCAGACAGCAAATAGCTGTTATGAGCAGTTCCCTGCTCTCTGCTGTGAGGATGGCTGCAGTCAGTGGGAAAGGTCCTGCCCCAGAGCCTGCACTGCTCTCTCAGACTGGGCAGTGGACAATGCAGGGGCGTTGCTTGCTGCCTTCCCAAGCTGAGTTTCCATGGGATGTGCAAGGCTGTTTATTCCATCCCCGAGGAGGCTGTGTTGTACCCTTCGATGGCCTTTTGCATCTCTGGAACTCTGGGTCTGGGATAGCATACAATCACTCACTGTATACTTACCAGGGATAGAAAAGGGACAAGTTTTCCCCTGATCTATTTGTAACTTTGCCCAGGATACAGATTGTGTTGAAATTGAATTATCACTTCCCCTGGCCTTATGTGGGTTGAAAGAGACAAGTTTCTCCCTAATCCATGCACATCAAAAGTAGCAAGCAGTGAGCAGGAAGCATCCACACAGAACCAAGGGGCCAGGCAGAGCGCAGGAGGCATTACCACTTTGGTGGGTCCTCAGTGGTCATGCCCAACTGTTTCTGGAGAAGGAAAAGCCATTTCACAACACAGGACACTGAGGCTCAGAGTGTCCTTGCTCTGGTATCTAGCTAAGAGTTGGCAGAAATGGCCCTTCCCATGCAGGGCTGTCTGGGTTCTTTCCCATTGCACAGAAGGGGGCTCCTTTAGACAAAAGAGCTCCTGCCCTCCCTTCCTTACCCCATCTAGAGAGGAGTGGATAGCAAGGCTTACCAGCAATAGGGCTGGTCTTTGTGTGTCTTTTGGTGAGAGTATGAATGTGGCCTGTTTGGGGCTGAACCGAGCATGCCCCTCTTCTAACAGGTCCTCAGATGTCAGGCATCACTAAAAGCTTGGTGTGTCTGAGGTTACCTCCATGCTCTGGGTCAGCACTGAGTCTAAGAAACCCGCATGATTTGTTGTGGCTGGCCAGGTAGGGTCATGAGGTTCCTTTGCTGGGACATCTTCAAGGACAACCCTTTCACTCCCGGTAGGGGGCCAAACTTTCTCAGCAAAGGCAAACCAGCTCATTTCTATTCTTGAAAAACAAATTATATGTCTTAGTCCTGTTCATTTGGTAACCCCAAGTGGGAAAGATCTCTGTTGGAAGGCTGAGCAACCCACACATTCCCATGATGAGAGACACTAGTTACCCTCTCAGGGGTGGTAGAGGACAGTGCTGCTGAAGACCAAGGGTCTGGGAACTCCTATCATGGAAGGCCCAGGTTTGTCCTTAGAGTCAGGTGATCCCAGGCTGACTCTGACTCCATGCTTAAATTATATGACCACAGGCAAGGTCAGAATCTCTCTGGGTCTCCATTTCTTCACTTAAAAAATGAGATGGGTTGGGGGATGGTTGGCTTAACTCACTTCTGTTGTCCATTTTCAGATCTTACCTATTTAAAATGTCTAAAGCACACCTCAAATATTGAGGTACAATAACAATAAATTGCATCTTATGATCTTGGTTTTTCTTTGTGGTCATTATCTCTTAAATATGCTCCCTCAGGTATGAAAATATAGTGACCCAGCTCTATTTTTGAGTGTACCGTTTTCTCAGACTACTGGGAGATTATATTCTGAAAAACTCTTCAGTTATATAACTCCTGTTCCTGCTTAAATTCTCTATGTTGGTTTCCATTTATAATTTATATTTTATTATGAAAAATTTGAAACATATGCAAAAGAATTATATAATGCAATCCCATGGACCCAACAACCAGCTTTAATAATTATTCATATTTGTCAATCTGATTTCATCCCCTCCTCCCCCTGCCCCATACATTTTTGGCAAGGGGGAGGGAGCACTTGTGTATTTTTAAGCAGATCTCAGACTTAATATCATTTTACTGTTAAATAGTTTGTGTATAAAACTAAGAAGACTCTTCCCTTTTGCCAAATATAACTACAGCATCATTATTGTACCCACTACAATTAACAGTGAACAGGGGTTTAGTGAATTTTTAGTGAATTCAGGGTGGAAAGAGAAAGGAGGAATGAAGGAATGAGCTCTGGCCTGGGTTTACCTGCTTTCCTTCAGAGAAAGTGGTAGAATTCATTGAGAAGGCTCTTAGTATGTATATATTTATGTATATATGTAGGTATGTTTTTAAGATTTTATTTTTTTATTCATGAGAGACAGAGAGAGAGGGAGAGGCAGAGGGAGAAGCAGGCTCCCTGTGGAGCAGGGAGCCCGATGCGGGGTAGGGAGCCCGATGTGGGACTTGATCCCAGAACCCTGGGATCATGACCTGAGCTGAAGGCAGACGCTTAACCAACTGAGCCACCCAGGCACCTAAGAAGGGTCTTAGCATTTAAACTGGCACTTGCCCCAGCTCTTACAAGACTTTCAGGGAGCGCCTTGGTGGATCAGTCCATTGAACGTCCGTCCCACTCTTGGTTTTGGCTCAGGTCATGGTCTTAGGGTCCTGAGATTGAGCCCCGGTCAGCTCTGCACTCAGTGAGAGTCTGCTTGAGATTTTTTCCCCTCCCTTTCCCTCTGTTCCTTCCCTTGCTCGTGTGCAAGCACTTTTCTCAAAGAAATAAGTAAATAAGTAAATAAATAAATAAAATCTTAAAAAGAAAAAACTTTTAGCAAACAAATATGGTAAAGGCCTTTCCAGACAAAGGGCTATAACTAGTATTTACCGAGCACCTACTGTGTACATCCCCATATATATCATCTCCTTTAACTTTCACACTAAAGCTGAGAAGGTTCTGGGAGGAGCTTCCAAATAGAACCTTCCTATTGGTCAATGTTACAATATCATACCATTACCCTGACTCCAGGCTGAATCAATGGCAGATACCTATTTAGCATCAATATATAAGACTATTTGACTCTGCCTTTTTCATTTTTTTTAGATTCTCTGGGATATAATTAAATGAGGATAATACTATCTTAGGCAGTGAGAGTGTGAAAATGCCTTCCTATTCCCTTTCTTCCCCCACCCTCACTTCCTTTTAAATTCTCTTTGTGATTTACACAAATTTAACCTAATTTATATTTCATTTGTGCAGATGAAATTATGCAGCAGGAAATCAGGCCCTTGGTGGCAGTGGACCTAATTGAACAACTTCACAGACAGTTTGCCATTCTCTCAGGTAAGGGGCAAATTAATTTGTATTTTAGATTTTGTTGCGGGGGATCTTGTTGGGAAGGGCCAAGCCTCTTGAACCTGGATGAACAGTGTACCCAAGTCTTAGACATCCCTTCAGCCTCTCCCAGAGTTACAATGAACAGCTGGAGGAGGGTCAGATCTCATAGATGTCATTCCTATTGCTGTTGAATGCAATTTGATCTTCCTTAAGGGAGTACATTTCTTTGAGGTTGTTGTTAAGAACAGAGCTAAAAAGATTTTGAGGAAGGGAAAGGAAATAACTACTGATATCAACTGCCACCATGATGTTCTTCCTACATTCTTGATGGAGGTTTTTCCCAAGATCTAACCTTAAGAGAGTGGTTTTAAGGGTTCATGAGCATTGGTGAGGTTATTTTTTCTCTTTGAGATTTGTCTTTTAATCTTAGCTCTTATGGACCTAATTTTAATGCATTGATTTCCATTGAGCATTTGGGAATAAAGAGAGGCTAATGTTCATAAAAGGCTAGAAATTTTCTGAGCCTAGGCACAACCCTGAGAAGTTGTCATTACCAGAATACTCTTCTTTCTTATTTCTTAGCGAATGTTGACATGACTTTGATTACTGAAACTGGAGATACATACCAAACCCTAAATTACAGTTAGACCTGTCTTAGAAGCATGGTGTGAAATTGTCCTTAGCACACATCACAGAGGAATAAGGTGGCAAGTTACTCTCCTCATCTTTTACACCTGAAAAAAGCAACAAAGCTACCTTAGTTCCATCACAGAGAATATGAAGTTGGTATGAATTTAACCCTACAACATGGGATATTAAAAGAGACACATTTCTGGGGGGCGGAGCAAGATGGCGGAGGAGTAGGAGACCTGGATTTCATATGGTTCCAGGAATTCAGCTGGATAGGGATCACACCATTCTGAACACCTACAAACTCAACAGGAGATCGAAGAAAAGAATAGCAACAACTCTCTGAACAGAAAAGTGACCACTTTCTGGAAGGTAGGACGTGTGGAGAAGTGAATCCGAGGCGATATTTGGGAGGATAGACGGCGGGGGAGGGGGCTTCCGTTGACTGCTTCTGGCACGTGATAGAGCCGCGGAGCACAAAATCAGAACTTTTAGAAGTCTGCTCCACTGAGGGAGGTCGCTCCAGTGGCTAAGTGGGGGGTGGAACCCTCGCCGGACAGTGTGGTCTCAGGACCCTCGGGGTCACAAAGACTGGGGGTGCTTGAGTGTGGCAGAGCTCCCAGGTATCGGAGCGGGGAAGCCGACTGCAGAGACGGAGCTGAGGCGCAGGCTCTCAGCTCGGGGTTGCCATAAACTGTGATCCATGGCACAGTCCCTCCTCCAGCAGGGACCCAACAAGCGGCAGATCTGGGGAGACTCCCCTTCCTCCCCTGGAAGGAGCGGCGCAGAAGCACACAGCAGGGATCTGTTGGGTTTGGAGACTCCACACCGAGTTGGGTGCCAGAGATAGAAACGCTCGGTCACAGGCCGGGTGAGCATGGAGTGCGGCCAGACACTGGGGAGACGGGAGTGATTGACTGCTTTTCTCTGGGGGCTCACTGAGGAGCAGGGCCCCGAGTTCTCGGCTTCTCTGGGGCGGAGATTGGGAGGCCGCCATTTTCACTCTCTTCCTCCAAAGCTGTACCGAAAGCTTGCAGGGAACAAAAGCTCCAGAGAGCAAACCCGAGCAGATACTTAGCTGCCACCCGGCAAGGGTGGGGCAATTCCGCCTCCCACAAAGACATTTGGGAACCACAGCAACAGGCCCCTCCCCCAGAAGATCCACAAGAACAGCCAGCCAAGACCAAGTTTACCGAACAATGAGAACGGCAGAACTCCAGCGCTAGGGGGATACTGCACATAGAATCCATAGCTTTTTTACCATGATTCTTTAGTCTTTCAAAGTTAATTTTATTTTTTAACTGTCTTTTTTTTTTTAAATTTTTCTTCTTCCCTTTTTCAACCAACATCTTATCAATCCCTTTTTTAAAAAATATTTTTATTTTTCATTTTTAGAGTCATATTCTATCCCTTCATAGTAGTTACCCTTATTTTTGGCATATATATATAAGTTGTTCTCTCTTTAAAATTTTGAGATACAGTTTCTTCTAACAGATCAAAATATACCCTAAATCTCTAGTGTATGGCTTTGTTCCAGTCTCCTGCCTGATCACATTCTCTCCCTTTTTTTTCCTTTTTTTTAATCCTCTTCTTTATTTTTTCAAACAACTTCTTATCAATTCCTTTTATAACATTTTTTATAATTTCCATCTTTACAGTCATATTCCATCCCTTCATTGTATCAACCCTTATTTTTGTACATATATAAGTTTTTCTTCCTTTAAAATTTTAGGAGGCACTTTCTTCTAACAGGCCAAAATACACCCAAAATCTAGTGTGTGGCACTGATTTATGCACCAGCCTGATCATATTTGATCATATTGTTTTTTTTTTTGTTTTGTTCTGTTTTTGTTTGTTTTTATCTTTTTCTTTTTCTTTTTTCTTTCCTTCCATTTCTTTCCCCCTGGTTTCAGGTCTTTTCTGATTTGTTTAGAGTATACTTTCTGGGGACATTGTTACCCTGTTAGCATTTTGTTCTCTCATTCATCTATTCTCCTCTGGACAAAATGACAAGATGGAAAAAATCACCTCAACAAAAAGAACAAGAGGTAGTACCGACTGCCAGGGACCTACTCAATATGGACATTAGTACGATGTCGGACCTAGAGTTCAGAATCATGATTTTAAAGATACTAGCTGGGCTTGAAAAAAGCATGGAAGTTATTAGAGAAACCCTCTCTGGAGAAATAAAAGAACTAAAATCTAACCAAGTCGAAATAAAAAAGGCTATTAATGAGGTGCAATCAAAAATGGGGGCGCTAACTGCTAGGATAAATGAGGCAGAAGAGAGAATCAGTGATATAGAAGACCAAATGATGGAAAATAAAGAAGCTGAGAAAAGAGAGATAAACAACTACTGGATCACGAGGGCAGAATTAGAGAGATAATCAATACCATAAGATGAAACAGCATTAGAATAATTGGGATCCCAGAAGAAGAAGAAAGAGAGAGGGGGCAGAAGGTATATTGGAGCAAATTATAGCAGAGAACTTCCCTAATTTGGGGAACGAAACAGGCATCAAAATCCAGGAGGCACAGAGAACCCCTCTCAAAATCAATAAAAATAGGTAAACACCCCGACATCTAATAGTAAAACTTACGAGTCTCAGAGACAAAGAGGAAATCCTGAAAGCAACTCGGGACAAGAGATATGTAACCTACAATGGTAGAAACATTAGATTGGCAACAGACCTATCCACAGAGACCTGGCAGGCCAGAGAGGGCCAGCATGATATATTCAGAGCACTAAATGAGAAAAATATGCAGCCAAGAATACTATATCCAGCTAGGCTGTCTTGAAAATAGAAGGAGAGATAAAAAGCTTCCAGGACAAACAAAAACTAAAGGAATTTGCAAACACAAAACCAGCCCTACAAGAAATATTGAAAGGGGTCCTCTAAGCAAAGAGAGAGCCTAAAAGTAACATAGACCAGAAAGGAACACAGACAATATACAGTAACACTCACCTTACAGGCAATACAATGGCACTAAATTCCTATCTTTCAATAGTTACCCTGAATGTAAATGGGCTAAACGCCCCAATCAAAAGACACAGGCTAACAGACTGGATTAAAAAACAAGATCCATCGATATGTTGTCTGCAAGAGACTCATTTTAGAACCAAAGACACCCCCAGATTGAAAGTGAGGGGGTGGAAAACCATTTACCGTGCTAATGGACACCAAAAGAAAGCTGGGGTGGCAATCCTTATATCAGACAAAGTAGATTTTAAATCAAAGACTGTAATAAGAGATGAGGAAGGACACTATATCCTACTTAAAGGGTCTATCCAACAAGAAGATCTAACAATTGTAAATATCTATGCCCCTAACATGGGAGCAGCCAATTATATAAGGCATTTAATAACAAAAGCAAAGAAACACATTGACAACAATACAATAATAGTGGGGGACTTTAACATCCCCCTCACTGAAATGGACAGATCATCTAAGCAAAAGATCAACAAGGAAATGAAGACTTTAAATGACACACTGGACCAAATGGACTTCATAGACATATTCAGAACATTCCATCCCAAAGCAACAGAATACACATTCTTCTCTAGTGCCCATGGAACATTCTCCAGAATAGATCACATCCTAGATCACAAATCAGGTCTCAACCAGTACCAAAAGATTGGGATTATTCCCTGCCTATTTTCAGACCACAATGCTTTGAAACTAGAACTCAATCACAAGAGGAAAGTCAGAAAGAACTCAAATACATGGAGGCTAAAGAGCATCCTACTAAGGAATGAATCGGTCAACCAGGAAATTAAAGAAGAATTAAAAAAATTCTTGGAAACCAATGAAAATGAAAACACAACCGTTCAAAATCTTTGGGATACAGCAAAGGCAGTCCTAAGAGGAAAGTATATAGCAATAAAGCCTTTCTCAAGAAACAAGAAAGGTTTCAAATACACAACCTAACCCTACACCTAAAGGAGCTAGAGAAAAAACAGCAAATGAAGCCTAAACCCAGCAGGAGAAGAGAAATAATAAAGATCAGAGCAGAAATCAATGAAATAGAAACCAAAAGAACAGTAGAACAGATCAATGAAACTGGGAGCTGGTTCTTTGAAAGAATTAACAAGATTGATAAACCCCTGGCCAGACTTATCAAAAAGAAAAGAGAAATGACCCAAATCAACAAAATCATGAATGAAAGAGGAGAGATCACAACCAACACCAAAGAAATACAAACAATTATAAGACCATATTATGAGCAACTCTATGCCAGCCAATTAGATAACCTGGAAGAAATGGATGCATTCCTAGAGACGCATCAACTACCAAAACTGAACCAGGAAGAAATAGAAAACCTGAACAGACCTATAACCACTAAGGAAGTTGAAGCAGTCATCAAAAATCTTCCAA